AAGTCATAGTTAGTAAACTTTGTCCCATTGTCACTCCTAATCCTCTTGATATGCATATTAAACTGCCTTTTGGTTAGTTACTAAAACTAATCAAGCAGGAGGGTCGGCGCGAGCTCTCCTGAGAGCAAATCATTAAAATTAACTCTGTATGAGTCGACCTAAGCAGGGCTTTGAGCCGACTCAAAGGTTCAGAACTTGCAAAAAATGCTAATTTTGACATGTCTTGCTATTTCTAAGTACTTCTAATGCATATCTAAATTTACCAACATAATCAAACTCACATGGAACACATGTAATGCTTCTCATATGAATAGACACATGTTTTTGATAAATGCTTGACACGAGAGAACAAAAAATGCATATACGACACGATGATACCGTCCAAAGTAAACATTACTAACTAGATATGTTTTGACATCATTAAAACAAGTATTGAGACAACTTGTCCTCACAATTCAAAGTTTGTCTTCTTGGCCTTTAAAAATCCAACTATGGTTCCTTGGGATTTGAGAATAAGATGGCTCAATTGCTTACATCTTTCTAGCTATATGCAATTTATAGCTTCTCACATCTTTCAGAAAATGAATGGTTGCAAGGATGGCCTTGAAAACATGGGTCTTCAAGCGTCCAATTTCATTTGGTGGGACATAATACCTAGAGAAATTAATGATCATTTCTTTAGAACCAAGTTAGGCTTCCCTGAATATAGATTTGTAAACTTCTAGGGTCATGTCCGTTAGTTTTTTTTGTTTTTCTCTTTTGCTCTTTTGTAATCGTTTTTATACTTAATATATCTTTCTAGGATGCTATTGCACCCTTTTTGCTTACAATAATTAGAAATTTTAATAAAAAGAAATTCAAAAATAATTTCTTTACAAACATATGAGAATGTGGAATTCTCAATTTCACATTTCCGTTAATACGATTTCATTCCATCAAACAAACACTCTTTTAATCTCTTACCATGTCTATTTTTGAAGAGAAAATAGACAGAAAAATAAAAGAGACAACATAATTCAAAATCTGCTATTTCTTCTTTAATTTTATAATTCATGTTATTCTTTAATTATTGATTTCTTCATTATCTTTTCTAATTTGTGATTTTATTTGTTGATTGTTAATCATCTCTTAATTTCATTTACCTATTCAACTTCAAAATTGTCTTGTTCAATTTCAATGATGCAAAGTTGTGTAAGAGTTATTTATGTCAAAAGAATTTGTCAACACATGAAAGAAATGATCGTTGGAAAAGCACAAGGTCAACACAAAAACAAACTTTGCACCCCACCAAAGTCATCTATAACAAGAGAATCACCAAAATACAAAACAAAAAAGACTAAAAATTAATGGGTCATGCAAAACAGTGCCCGTGGGGCACTGACTAAAAATTTCAAATAAGGAAAGTATGTTATATTCAGTTCATTCAATACACACAATATTCTTTAAAAAGTTCGATTATTTCTCTTTTCAGGGCATTGGATACACATATGTTTAGAAAAAAATATGTATTTTCAATCTCTTAAATAATGCTTAACTTACCATTTTAATCTCTTAATCAATTCCCTAGGGGAACTCATTAGCATTTCCCAAAATTAATAACTTCTTTCTCCATAAACGTTACCAAAGTAAGCAAGTATAGAAAAAGAGAAGTTTAGACTTTAATGTTACCTTAAAAATGACGAACTTAATGACCCACGCGTTGTAGGCTTTACTAGAAGAGGTGGCGCAAATAAGTTGAAATTAATTGCTGATGGAAGGAGATTGGAGAGGATATACGAGGTTGTAGACACATCGAGAAAAACTCAAAAGATTCATAAATGGGGAAAATGGGAACATGGTAACCCCATAACTCCTTGTATATCCCATTAGAATGGTGAACGTTACGATCCTTGGCGTTGAGAGTTGTGAACCACACCACAAATAATCAAGATCTCATCACACATTATCCAAGAACTCTCGAATACCCTAGTACTATAAGGAATTCTTACCACCAGACGTAGGGCCACATTGAGATATACACGCGAATCATTGTTAATCACGAGGAAGACATTTAATTCATCTCTTCCCAAAATTCATCGACATCCCATTAAGGCTCTTTATTTTCTTCTATCATAGGCCAACCTGAAGAGAACCCGATAAAATCCTCGTTATACGATGTAGAACACAAGGGCTTTGGGGCAACTACAAGACTTATGAAGGAGGCCCAATAACAAATGTTGAAGAAAAATACACACAAAAGACACACAATCACGCTCTCCATCACATCCCTCACTAATGAATCTAAACAAGCGACAATCCGCACATGGGGCCGAATTGCCACAAACAACTTTAACAACCCTTACTATATAAAAAAAATCGTGCAATTTTACGTATTCAGTTCATTCAAACTCTCAAACTACTTTTCATTCATTCACTAATTGAACGTTAAAAAACTAACCTTGTAAATCCACTATTTTCTATCAAACCGAAAGTGTGATCCACTACACCCAACATATCTTAACTTCATTCTATCATATATTTATGTTTATTGGACATAACAAATATTATATATATATATATATATATATATATATATATATATATATATATATATATATATATATATATATATATATATATATATATATATATATATATATATATATATATATATATATATGTGTGTATATATATATATATATATATATATATATATATATATATATATATATATATATATATATATATATATATATATATATATATATATATATATATATATATATATATATATATATATATATATATATATATATATATATATATATATATATATATATATATATATATGCGGAAATAAGTTTTTTTAATTTATTTTACATTATTGTCTTTAAATTTAATCTAATTTATTGATTAAATTAGTATTTTTACTTATAATAATTCGATTAAATATAATTTAGAAGTTGTATAGTAAATTATAAAAACATATTTTTGAAGTAAGTGGATTCTCATTTTATATATATATATATATATATATATATATATATATATATATATATATATATATATATATATATATATATATATATATATATATATATATATATATATATATATATATATATATATATATATATATATATATCACCCAACATATCTTAACTTCATTCTATCATATATTTATGTTTATTGGACATAACAAATATTATATATATATATATATATATATATATATATATATATATATATATATATATATATATATATATATATATATATATATATATATATATATATATATATATATATATATATATATATATATATATATATATATATATATATATATATATATATATATATATCACCTAACATATCTTAACTTCATTCTATCATATATTTATGTTTATTGGACATGACAAATATTATATATATATATATATATATATATATATATATATATATATATATATATATATATATATATATATATATATATATATATATATATATATATATATATATAGATAGAGAGAGAGAGAGAGAGAGATATTAATTGTTATGTACTGTCCGTGTAAAAGTTTTTACACAGTCAATGTATCACAATCATCCGTTAGTATTACTTTTCAAGTGGTTAAAATTAAAATCAAACATTTCAAACAAATCAACGATTATAATTAACTGACAGTATAAAAATTATTTACACTGTCAGTGTATATCAATTATATATATATATATATATATATATATATATATATATATATATATATATATAATGAGAATTCACTTACTTCAAAAATAAGTTTTTATAATTTACTATACAACTTCTAAATTATATTTAATCGAATTATTATAAGTAAAAATACTAATTTAATCAATAAATTAGATTAAATTTAAAGACAATAATGTAAAATAAATTAAAAAAACTTATTTCCGCATATATATATATATATATATATATATATATATATATATATATATATATATATATATATATATATATATATATATATATATATATATATATATATATATATATATATATATATATAATACGAGAGTAATAAATTTCATATTTGATTCTTACACAGTAGATTTTAACGTTGGCAATAGGATCCATTAAGACAAAATCCAAAATAAAAAACTGATTTGTTTTTCGAAAAAAAATCGATTTTTTTTAAAAAATGTTTTTTAAAGAAAAAAATGAATTTTTTTGAAACAAAAAACAATTTTTTTTTAATACAAAAACAAATTTTTTCGAAAAAAACCGACTTTTTTAAATTATAAAAAATATAAAAAACTGACTTTATAATTTTTTTTAAAATACAAAAATAAATTTTTAAAAAATAAAATAAAATCGAATTTTAAAAATAAAAAAATTTATGTATTTTTACAAAATAAAAAAATTTATTTATTTTTATAAAATTAAAAAATGTTGGATTGATGAATAAATAAAAAAATTTATTTATTCTTAATGGATGAATTAGATTGGATAATTTTAAAAAAATTTTAGTAGATTATTAATGAACTAATAGATTATTTTAATCCATTCGTTAACGATGAAATCCATCTCCATTCCATTCATCATTTTGCCACCCTGGATTTATGACATTTGTTATTTCTTTTCCAAAAAATGCCTGCGATTATTTTAATGTTTCTGTTAAAAAATTGACACGCGGCAATGCAGGACGACACCACCTAACGCATCACCACCCCACCAAATACAGCGACGATACGAAACCGAAATCCCAAAACAAAAAAAAATAAAAGGTAATAAAACCGACAATTTACGTCGATAAGACAACTATTTATGTAGTAATTAATCAAACTTATCCGTTAATTAAGAGCCCGATTTCTTTACAAAAAATCTCAATTGCTCATCTTCTATATCACACAACACAAATAGCCCAATCCAAAACGCAAGAAAAGAATAAGAACAAACTGTTAATTCATTATATAATATCATTAGGGTTTAGTTCGTTTTTGATGCTGTGAAATCAATTCGATTCAATTCGAAAACGATGATGGATGGAATAAGCAATGGAGGCATGTTGTATCACGAGGTACAGGAATCAAAGCTTTGTGCTGTCCATTGCGTCAACACTGTTCTTCAAGGTCCGTTTTTCTCTGAATTCGACTTGGCTGCACTCGCTTCCGATCTCGATTGCAGAGAGAGGCAGATGATGATGCTTCCTGCTCACTCCCCCGCCGGTGATTTGTTTTCACATAATGTTTCTCTTGACGGTGATTTCAGCATCCAGGTTCCTTTTCTTTCTACCCTAATTCTCTTTTCTTAATTCTTATTCATTCTATTAGGGATTTTTATTATTATTATTTTGATGTATGTTGAGATTGTTGGTGTGTAATTTGTAAGTAACTATGCAAGTTCTCTTTAAACTTTAGGGTTTGTAGTTTGTACGGATCCTGATTGGTCCTTGAGAGAAGTTAACTTAAACTTTTCATTATTTTAAGGTGTTTGTTGTCAATTGTAGTGGAAAATAGTTGTTTTTCAAGTTCTGCTCGCATGGTGATTATTCGAAGATTTCTATTATTTAAAAAGAATGTCCGTAGTTATATCTCTTTGGATAGAAGCATGATCCTGGCTATGGATAGAACATTATGGCTACATTTGATCCATGTAGCTGATCCCACTTTGTGAGATAAGGCTTGGTTGGTGTTGTTGTTGTTGATGTTGTTGTAGTTGTTGTTGTTGTTGTCTCTAGTTATATCTGTGATGTGTGCCCCAATCTTTATTAATAAATTATTGAGGTGTGACCCAAATGATAGATAGGGTGTGTGGTGTGCCAACACTCTGGGATAACACATTCTATAGTGATGCTTTTGCTTTTGCTTTTTGCATGCCTGTCGTCCATTGGGTAAGGAAAACACTATCTGTGTTGCATTTCTTTTGTGTTGATGAAATTAAAGTTGAGTATTGGAAACAAGTCAACAACTAAAATTCATGGTATGATACTGTTATCTTTTTCTTATTTTGAGACTTTTGCGTTGTTTGTTAGGGCTGTAATGAATGGAAACGGTCCGTAAGTTTTGTTTTTGACGAGTAATTTTGTTTTTCATTCTCTTGCTGTGCATGTGCATGGCTGATACAAGCATGTTTCATTGTGTCGTTAGTGTGAGTGTGTTTTGATTTGGCTGGAGTTGAATTGTAACATCATATATGTCATAGATGATTTTTATGAGATTTGTATATAGTGAGGGAATTAGTTAGTTACCCATGTGAGATACGCATACGTCGTAGCTGGTTTTTATAAGTTTTGTATTTAGCGAGGAAACTAGTAAGTTATCCATGCGAGATACGGATGTCTTTTGTTTTCACGCATGCTTTGTAATCCGTACTATTAAAAAAATAGTTTGAAAATGAGTTTTGGTTTGGCTGGAGTTCTGTTATAATGCAATATACTTCATAAATAGTTATGGTTGTTATAATATGTTTAGTAAGGGAACTGGTTAGTGACCCATTTTGTTTTCACTCATGTTTTGTAATTGCACTATTAAACAAATAGTTGTGTTGTTAATCTTGGATAGCGTTGCGTAGCACCGACCCCTTAAAATGCTATATAGTGGATAGTGGGATAACTGCTATTGCAAAGACTAAAAACTCTACTACTCAAAAATGAAAGAGATCAACATATTTAATAGTTAAAGAATCTAAAGTATAGAGTAATAAAACTTAAAGAGAGAAGAAGAATAAAACAAAATTGAATTAATACTAGGAAGATGAGAAGAGCGATTATTTGAGAGCAAGAACATAACATTACTCTTCAAGGGGTTAGGATTGAAATTTATACCCTTAAAAAAATAAGAGTTAGAAAAAACAAAATTCTAATAGAGGACGCAATAACAGCTGCGATATCAGTTTGGCCGCTACAACCACTTTTGTCGTCTGCAGCTTGCAGACCAATATCGTCGCTCTGAACCCTACCCCACTATGCTATTTTGCTATAGCGGCGATATAGTATACAACATAATTGAATAATTGAGATAAATGGATATACTGACATCCTTTTCCCTTCCCTCTTGAATCCTTTTACCCAAACATACTGTGGAAATCTTGCAGTATTTAAAGAAATTGATTTAGGGAATTTGTAATATCTTTCTTATTTATATACAAATTGATATGATTAGGAAAATTTCTTTAACTCTAGAGATATGCAATTAGAACAGCATATTTACTATTTCCTTAATTATTATAGGAATTCCTTAATTAGTATATAGGAATTCTGTATATATTCCATGAACCTTTATGAGAAATAATTTACTCATAATACCATTAAGGGCCCATTTGCTAAGCTTTTGAAATGATTAGGAAAATCTCTATGATTTGTGCCACAATCATCTAAGATAGCTTTGTATTTCCAACATCACAAAGTATCAAACACCTGATAGCAATATGTAACTAGAAGCTTCCAAATACATGATGTACACATACAATATGAATGTGTAGTGCATCAGAATATTTGAAGTATCTAAATAACATCTAGGGCCACCAAATAAAAGAGACCTACTGAAACAAAAATGATGTCGGACTATCCTACTAGCATTATGCCTGGGAATTTGGGACGGGCTTGGTACCAATAGGGATTTAAACTAACATACTGTATTATAAGCAGATTCTTGTTCATACTCCTTTCTCTTCATGGGTTAGACATCAATCCTTAGGCTACAGAATTGCAACGTAATTCCTCGTTGATAAGCGACTGTCATCATATGAGTACCATTGCCTAGTAGCTCTTAGACGAGTGAACCTTGAATAGCATGCCAAAGATCAAACACTTTTTCATTGTTGAAGCCCCATCCCACTATGTGGATGACCTCAAATTGTTCAGTCATCATAGGGTTCCAATGGCCTTTTATAACCCATGGCTTCTATAGTGGTCAGAGTCTATATCCCTCTTTATCTCCCTTGTGACTCCCCCTCCCCCACAGTCTTTTTTGCCTCTACCATGTTACCCATTGGGTGATCTTTGAAACTGACTTTTTCCTTTTTACTTTTTCTCTTTTACCAGGGGCTGGTCCTCTTCTTTCTCCCTTGTTTTGTTTTCCCTTGACTTTCTTTCCCTTTCCATTTACTGAGTTTTGTTGTTACTTGACTTTTTTGCTAGTTCCTCCATAGTGTGCAACATATATACTAGATTGTTCCTTGTATTTACACCCAATACCCTCATAGCTAAACCACACAAGATGTATGAGTTTAGTGAGTGTGATTTGTGAGTTTTGGATGATTAGGCTATAATGTATAGACATAAGAAGGGATTAGAACTTATTAGGAGGGCATGTGATAATTTGAAAGAGATTTTTGGGGCCTTTGGCTAGCATGTGCAGATCTAGATATTCTTGCTCTAGTACCCATAGTATGCAACATATAGTTAGATTGTTCTTGTATTTGTACCTAATTCCTCATGGTTAAACCTTGTAAGATTTCAAATGGGTTTCGAATGAACAAAGGCGAGAAAGGATATATAAGGAGTTTAGTGAGTTAGTGATTTGTAAGTTTTGGAGGGTTAGGTTATGAAGGATAATAATAAGGAAGGGATTTTAGAAGGGCATGTGATAATATGAAATTTATACCATTATGTTTTATCTTTGTAATTGGGGAATTTGTATCATTATGTCAGACCCTAAAGATTTTGATTCCACATTATGATGCAACATTAGAGGGAACCGTATCTAGTAGCACGTGAAATGGGAGCAGAGCTGGAGAAAGGCCAGATACTTCCTTGTAAGGAAATCATATCCAGAGAAAGGCCAGATGCTTCCTTGTAAGTAAATCATATCCAGTAGCATGTGAATGGTTCATCTTTTAAGAAGGAAAAATAAGCCAAGCTCAAATAAATAAAAGATGGAGACATGGGAAGGAAAACATATGCTTATGGTTCTATACCTAAAATCAAGCTTCATGCTGTAAGTCATCTTGCTAGTCTAGATGGTGAATTAGATTGTTTAGATGGTCGTACAATCTAGATTATCAATGTCGTCCACACCTTGTTAGACGTGCACAAAACAAGAGTCCCCAAAGAAGGCCATTTGTTATAAGTTCCACATCGACCGAACAATATATAGTATGAACACATGTTTATAAGTTGGAGTAATCTTCACATTATAAGTCGATTTTGTAAGGTTGAGTTAGGTTCAACCATCAATTCTAAGTTGTTATAAGAACCTCGTTCAAGATCTGTTTGGCCATATGCTATCAGGTTTTCAGACCACCTACCATTTATATCCACACATCAAACTCAATTGGACTGGGTGTGAGAGTATATGTTAAGAGTTTCACATTAGACAATATATTGGCCGGAACATATGTTTATGTGGGGACAATCTTCACTATACAAGCCGGCTTTATATGGTTGTGTTAGGTTCAACCGCAGTTTTAAGTCAATTCAACCACACTTCCATTATTCATTTCGTAGACCTTGGGTAGAAATGAAAGTAGGTGAAAACAGTCATCTCAGTCTTGGAAGCATCCAGAGCGTCGATGGAACCATTGGTCTTGACATGGGAGAAATTATGTCCAAAAAAAGAGATAAGGGGTTGTTTGCACTGAAACCTAGGTACTCATGGTTCGAAAGAAATATGGAGATCTGGTATAGAATCAGAGCAGGGAGGAGACAATGACTTTGGAAAAGCTTATCGAAGGTTACCAAACGTGCTTGTAAGTTGTATGTAAGTTGTATGTGCTATGGTTGTCGGTGGCATGTAGAGGAGGCGTGGTGGAGAGGTGGAGAAAGACTGTGGGAGGGTTCGTGAAATAGTATTTGGAGAGGTGGAGAAAGACTGTGGGAGGGTTCGTGAAATAGTATTTGCAGCCGGAGTTTTTGGGGTTCTGTAGGTCGAGAGATTAAACAGGCAATGAGTAAGCAATGGATAGGGTTTTCCTTGAAAAATGACAAAAAAAATTCTGGTGGCAAGGAATGGAACAATTTTAATTTGGTGCCATGATAATGGAGAGCAAAAACTAAAAAGATAACACTTTTTGAAAATTGTTTGACATCAATAGACAGAGGATTGACCAATTAAACACGGTTAAGGGTTGCCTCACTTTAGGATCTAGATGCGATCTTGAATAAGAGACACATACACAATATTGTGAAACTGTGCCTACTACACAACACCGGCTCTCTTTTTAGGGGCTTAAAATCAACAAGTAGAATAATTACATATAATTTTATCTCTATTTATAAGATATCATTAATTAACTGATCTATACAATAAATAGACGAATGCTAATCTTATTTTCTACACAGCTGATACATTATACAGCGTCTGGATTCAAAATCCGAGTTCTATCACTGTTTTATGTATTTTCATCTGTTATTGAAGTTAACAATTTTACAATTATATTTATGCATGTTGCCATGCCTTCAGTGCCCTGTATGATTCAGATTCTAATAAAAACATTATTAGTTTAAAGTAAACAGTGGTTTATGTTTATTGAGATGTTTGTTGCATACATCCAATATTTTTCTGGCAGGCAATGTAGGACTTTGATCCGATGCAATTTTATGAGTTAACTTAATTGTGCAAAGCCTTTCTTGTAGGTTTTACAAAAGGCTTTGGAGGTGTGGGACCTACAAGTCATTCCTCTTGATTCTCCCGTTGCCGAGCCGGCCCAGGTTGATCCTGAGCTGGAAAATGCTTTCATTTGTCATTTGCAAGATCATTGGTTTTGTATCCGCAAAGTGAATGGAGAGTGGTATAATTTTGACAGTCTCTATGCAGCTCCACAGCACCTCTCCAAGTTTTACCTTGCAGCCTATCTCGACTCTTTGAAAGGCTCCGGATGGAGCATATTCCTGGTGAGAGGAAATTTTCCAAAAGAGTTTCCCATCTCTTCGGCTGAAGCTTCCAACGGTTTCGGCCAATGGCTTTTACCGGAAGATGCTGAGAGAATAACTAAATCTTGTAACTCAGTACAGCAGGCTCCACAACAAGAAAGAGTTGTGGAAAGGCAACAATATTCGAATCAGTATCTTTCACGCGAGGAAGCTGAATTGTTTTCGGACATGGAAGATGAGGATCTAAAGGCGGCTATAGCAGCTAGTCTGATGGATTCAACCCCAATTGTGACCAATATTGCTGAAGCCAGTAATCCTCAAAATAATGACAAGCAAAAGAGCATAGAAGTGGAAGCCATTGAAGCTAGTGTACCTCCCAGTGATGAAAGCAACAAACATGTGGAAGCTATTGAAGCCGGTACTCTTCTGAATGATAAAAATGATCAACAAGTCGTGTCTTCTTTCGGCGGCGATAACTCTCACAGGGAACACCAGAATAAAGAGAACACTCTCTGAGTTGAGAGTAGTGTGGTTTTATTTGCATCTGGTTTGTTTTTGCAATCGAGGATAATAATCTATATCAGTTTAGTTGTTCAAAACATACATCAGTGGCTTGAAGTCATGGTGCTGTGCAGTATAATACACATTCCCACATGGATTGCACGATTTATTTTATACTGTAAGGAAAACCCTTCAACATGTTAATCTGATTATGATATTATCAACTTTTGATACTGTTTTTTAAAACCCTTGATCATTTCCATGTAACTGTAAAGTTTTTTTTAATATTCACTTTCATATTTGGTAAAATATGTATGAATTAATTATTTGGAAATGCCTCGTAAAAAAACCGGACTTGATATCACATCCACTATTTTTGCCTAATTCACAATGCATTTTCCACATTTTATCCATCAACAAAGTAAAGAGATCCAATTAACAATCTCCTACCCCTACCCTAGAAAAGGCTTAATATTTTAAGCTCATCCACCGAAACCGAAAGTTTGATATCAATGACAAAGAAAAACAAACGTCTTCATCTTTGAAAATATTTGTTCTTATTGTACTAAAATGAGATTTTTTTTTACAATAATCACTTTTTATAGTTTAATTACCATTTAAACCTTATTTTCAAACAAATCCCTAAACCAACCATGTTTCAAAAATCAGTCGCCGTTTGGATTGGCGAAATAGAAGAAATGGAAAATGAGTTTCAGCCAAGTCACCGTTTGGATTGACGAAAGAGAAAAAATAGTTTGAATTGGTGAAAGAGAAAAAATAGAAAATGTGTTTCAACCAAGTCGCCGATAGTAATTAAATTATAAAAGTGGTTATTGTAAAAAAAAATTCCTAAAATGACTTCATCTTTGAAATAATCTTTTTTCAAGTGTTTTTTTGTCCTATTTTGTTCTAAAAATACTCCTCGGTATTAAAATGACAATTGTTTACTGTTTTTGCAAATGAATTAAAAAATGTAATAATATTGTCATTATTAAATTAATCTAACCTTATTAATGTGTTGGATTTATCCATTATAATTAAGAGACACAATTAAAAAAAAACAATTATTAAATGAGATGAAATTTATTTTAAAATAAATATCTTTTTCTTAAAATGATATTCACCACGGAGCTAAAGTTCTTAACATCATTTTATATTGTTAAGTAGGTTCAATTAGGTAGAAATATCACTGACATTTTTTTTACTATTAACAATTTCATTCTAGCTACTATACTATTTAAAATAAAAATAAAAATGTTATTTTAATAAATGAAATATATTTAAAATAATTATTATATTCAATTTTTAATATAAAATTTCAGGCTAATGTTAAATCCTTGAAAAATTGTAGGTTGGCATAATAGAGTTGAAAAGCAAAGTGACACTCCACTTTTTAGGCTGGAAAATAAAACTCTCCCTATAAATTACATAATTCAGGGACCACTTTTACCAAAAATTCATAACAATAATAATAAAAGAAAAACTAAAAAAAAAGAGGGAAAAAACAAAACTATGTTCCAAAATTAATTAAAAAAAACACATTTCACTAATTTTCCTCCTTCTCTTCTTTTCAGTAACACTGATCCTTTCTTCTTTTTCCTCATCTAAAATGGATTCATCTCACCGATTATTCAACAGAGAAAGAACTCTTCATCAGATCCTTGGAGCTGGTCAAGGTAACACAAATTTCTCATTTTTTGTGCTTAGATTTCTTAACTTTATCTATTATTTCATTTAAATTTTCATTCTTGTTTTGTTTATGTTCAATTTTGAAAAGAATGATCCATGACCTTGAATTTGATTTTGAATGAATGTGATTTTTCAATGCAGTTGCAGACTTGATACTATGGAGAAGGAAGAATCAAACTGTGATGATATTGTTGGTGACATTAGCTGCATTTGTTGTGTTTGAGAGATCTGGTTATACACTTTTGTCTCTTGTTTCTAGTGTTCTTCTCCTTCTTGTTGTTATTCTTTTTCTTTGGGCTAAATCAGCAGCAATTCTCAATAGGTATATTCAATACTCTCAAATTTATGTTTCTTTTTACTATATACTTTGACTTGGATTGGATCTTCTTGAATTGAACCCTTAAGGACTTGTTTGGATTGGCTTAGGTAAGCTTTAGGGTTTAGTTTATTATTTTGGTCAAGTAGCCTAGTGGCTGGAATTCACCATTTAAAGGTGAACAAGTGAGATGTCGCTGGCTCGAATCCGCATCTCCACACCTGATGTTCTTGTACAGTTATCAACTGAGTTAGTTTAATGTAGTATTTTTTTGGTTTACTTGGTCTATAGCCATTTGGTTCACAACCTAATGTAGACTCTAAATAACCTTTCACGCCTTAAATTTGGGGGAAGATGATGTCCAATTCCATCTGAGTCATTGCGTAATAGGGACCGACTCCTTGTAGTCTTCCTTGCATAATGATTCACCCGGTTCTCTTCATGACTCGACATAACGAAACATCTGGAACATGACTTGGGTGACTGAACAATTGTTAATAGTTAATGCTTTACATTAATCAATAACATTTACAAAAGCATGATAAACTATTGTGTATTTTACAGACCTGCTCCACCTCTACCACAGTTGCATCTGTCAGATGAAATCACAAATGAAATGGCAGCTTTTATCCAAACCAGAGTTAATAATCTGTTTTCAGTTTCTCATGATATCGCCCTCGGTAAGGACTCAAGGCTGTTTCTGAAAGTAGCTGCATACCTATGGTTAATTTCTGTTGTTGGCGGTTTCACTGATTTTCTTACCTTGGCATACACCAGTAAGTTTCTCAGCATTAGTTGATCAAACTAGCTTTATAGCTTATACATGCACACTTATACTATACGCAATTATTAGAAAATCAGTTAATTAAATTGTGTTTCCAAACATGCCCTTAGAATCAATTTTGCATTGGCAAATTTTTAAAGAAAAAAAATTAATTTGTTGTTGTGTTTTTGACTATGTGGCAGGTCTCTTTATTCTTCTTACTTTACCTGCACTCTATGAAAGATATGAAGATTACATTGATAGATTTATTTTGAAGTGCTACACCAAATTATGCCAGTTGTATAGGAAAATAAATGAGGAATATATCAGCAGAGTCCAATACTGGATTCTGGAGAAGAAAAAGCTTAGCTGAGTTTGTATTTCATTTTCACATTCATTTTTGGTAAATTGTTTCTGTTACTCTCTGAAATATTTCTTACATGATCATATTGGTCATATTGTGGTTGTGAGTATAGTGATCTTCTCCATCTTGAAATGAAGTTTATTCTTTATGTCCTTTTTCAACTTCAATGATCAAAGTTAATCTCATTCGTAGAATAAACATTTCGGTGTTAGACACACGCTAGGGTTTAACATTGACACGATAGACTCATACAGGCACTAACATATGTGATTTTATTCAAGTATTGTTCTCAAATTATTATCGGGTACGATGTGTCAGCCTTATGTCCCTATTGATATTTCGAACATAGCTCATGCAGGCATTCCACATTGAGTATTTAAGAGCGTATTTTGTTTGAAAAAAAAATCCTTCTCATTAACAAATATTATAGGTTCAACTTCAAACCATAAAGAGGAATTTAGAGATAACTAATCTCTATTTGAATAAGTATATTGATAGAGTACTAAGACTTTGTTAAGTTCACGTACTTTCTATTTTGTTGTACTTTGTTAAGTATATTTGAATAAGCATATTGATAGAGTACTAAGACTTCTCTTTTACTCCTTATCTCGTGGCCACTCTAATGACCCGAACAAAACTTTTTAACCCCTTGAACACTATTTCAAGAAACTCACCAACACATTTCCTGTCACCTTTGATCAAACAAACATTTGTATTATTCACCCTATCCTTTTCTTCTATCTTTCAATGAGACTTATTATTTTAAATCATAGTTTTTAAAATTTCACAATCACCATCACAAGTTGTTTTTCGAAAAAACTATCATTGTAATACTCTTCTCCATCTCCTCTACAAAACCTACGAAGAAAAATCATGGCTGAATACCTTTTATCGCAACAAGTGTGTCTAAAATTGCCACCACCGCATTAAAATCCTCAAATGATTCTGTTTTAGGACCTTTACCAATTTTTCCTTTCTTTTTCTTCTATTTCTTGGTGTATTCTTGAAGTGTTAAATATACATTGTATTTATCCTCTCACAGAAACCTCTTATTCTTTACTTGTCATGATTGCCGTTTCCGACCAGTAGCTCAGACACCATAGTCCTCAACTATTATATATAGATCATTCATTATTCTCTACTATTATGGTGGACCAAATTGAATGCCCCCAAGTTCTTAGAGTATCCACTTTCATCAACTTTCACTTTGACTCTTTAAATGAGATTCACACCATTTTTTTTATATTATATTATACTTTTATATTTTCTAAACAACTCAAATAGATTTTCTAAAAGTCAATACAACTCATTAAAAATTCTAAAATAAATTTCATCAAATCTCACAATATACCCAACATTTATATTATATAAAAAAATAATTGAAACAATTTAATTCAAATATATCAAAATACATTTAAAAATTATACATTTAAAATAAAATAAATATATATTAAAAAATACATTACAAAAAATAATCATTAAAAAAAATACTAACACAAAATACAATAAAAATACATAATCATATTAATTAAGTTCATATTTTTCTCTAATCATGTCGCATAATAATTCACGAGCTTGCAGTTGTCTTGTATTCATATTTGATCTATCTTTTAAAAGTATTTGCACATCATTCATCTTTAATCTTTCCTCAACACTTTTGATCTTTGCATCAACCTTTTTTTCTCTCTATCTCAACTTTTTCACCCTCAATGTAAGCATAGTCCCCACCCTCACGTTCTTGATCATTTGATCGCGCACCACTACTACCTATTTGAGTCTCATGAAGCATAGTGAGGTTAGTTGATTGAGATATAAATAGTTGATATGGACAAAGTGGTGTATAATATGAGTAATTTTTAAATTGTGGATTATTTTGTGGATTTGCGATAAATTGAGCGTTTTGAAAATTTGGATTATGATGCGAATTTGAGAAAAAAGATGCATTTTCAAAGTATGGGTTGTGTTGAAGATTAACACATATCAAATCATAATCATTTAATTCAGATTTGTCAATCTGTTACAAGACAGTGGTGTAAATAGATTTATTATCTATTAGTGTTATTTTCTTATTTAGGTAGTTGTTATTTCCTTATTTAGGTAGCAACAATTATAGAAAATTATTTCTCTGTTTATTAACAAATTAGTGTACAACTTATGTATTCTATTTATACCTCACAATGTAAGAGTTCCAAATATAATAAAATATACAACATATTTCTTCTATATGGTATCAGAGCACTAGATCTGAACCATCCCTAAACCTTGAGCACCACCCGTGGCAGATACTAAATCAGAAAATTCAGCCAACAATTTGGCTGAAGGACATGCTCTTCCTATCACTGGTCACAAATTGAATGGCCATAATTACAATTAATGGGTGCGCTTGGTCAAAATCTACCTTCAAGAAAAAGGGAAGGAAGGTTATATCACAGGAGACTCCAAGTGTCCACAAAAGGGGGATTTCAACATCGAAAAATGACAATTAGAAAACATTCTAGTAATGTCATGGCTACTAAACACCATGACAAATGAAATTGGAAAAATTTCATGTATTATGGCACTGCCAAAGAGACGTGGGATGCCGTAAAGGAAACTTACTCTAATATCGACAATACATCTGCAATCTTTGAAATAAAGAGCATACTCTATGGTTTACGTCAAGATGACCGCTCACTCACAAAGTATTTTAATACTCTCAATCGTCACTGGCAACAATTGAATGTATATGATGAAGTTGAATGGAGCTGTACAGATGATAAAAAGAAGTACAAAGAATTAGTGGAGAAAGATAAAGTCTACAAATTTCTATTAGGTTTGAACACAAAACTTGATGAAGTTTGTGGGAGAATCCTTGGAACCAAAACTCTTCCAAAAATTCGAGAAGCATTTTCGGAAATACGAAGAGAGGAGAGCATGAGAAAAGTGATGCTTGGAAAATCCAATGCAGCCTCATCTATAGAAGGATCTACAATAGCAGCAAGGGGAGATCAACGTTCTTTCCAAAAGAAAACCCGGCCTTGGTGTGACTACTGCAAGAAACCGGGTCATACCAAGGACACATGCTAGATCATTCATGGAAAGCCATCATGGACCAAAAACCGGGACAACAGAGGGAACACATCTAAGGTAAATTCTCAATTATCACCATTCAACAAGGAGCAAATGGAAGCCTTACAAAAAATGCTTAAACAAACAATTGGTACAACTACTGTGGCATAAAAAGGTAATTTTTTGCATGCTCTAAACACTAGCAGGAGAAAACAAAATTCATGGATTATTGACTCAGGAGCATCTGATCATACGACTGGAGATTTGAATGTCTTTGATAGCTTTTCTCGATGTCAAAATGATTCGACTGTTCGAATTGCTGATGGTACCCTTTCTAAGGTCATGGGTAAAGGTTCAGTCATTATTTCACACAATATTACTCTTAGTTCAGTACTTTATGTGCCTAAACTTGACTATAACTTGCTGTCCATCAGTAAACTTACAAAGGATTTGAAGTGCATCACTAAATTCTTTCCTAATCTGTGTGAATTTCAGATTTTGGAGTCGGGGAGGACGATTGGCAATGCTATAGAATATGCTGGATTCTATATCCTTCAGGATGAAGCATCTAAACCAGAATCCGAGGCAACCTCTTGCACTGTAGTTTCTACATGTAGTGAAAATTCTGCAATGCTGTGGCACTATAAACTAGGCCACCCAAATTTTATGTACATGAAAGAAATGCTTCATAAATTATTCAATAAAAATCAGAAGTTGTTTTCAATGTGAAATTTGTCAATTGTCCAAACATACATGCACCCCCACCCACCTAAACCCTATAAACCTTCCCAACCTTTTTATCTTATTCATAGTGATGTATGTGGACCATCACAGGTCAAAAATGTAACTGGATCAAGATGGTTTGTCACCTTCATTGATGACCATACATATATCACTTGACTCTACCTTATGAAAGACAAATCGAAAGTTGGTAGGATATTTGAATGTTTCCATACCATGGTGCGAACACAATTTCAAAGCAAAATTAGAGTGCTTAGGAGTGATAATGGCCGTGAGTACTATAATTATGTACTAAGCTCATACTTTATGCAACATGGAATAATACACCAAACCTCATGTGTGGATACACCTCAGTAGAACGGGGTTTCCGAGAGAAAGAATAAACACCTTCTAGAAATAACCCGGTCTCTCATGCTTGCTACAAATGTACCTAACCAGTTTTAGGGAGAAGCTGTCCTCTTTGCAACCTATCTAATAAACATAATGCCTTCCCAGATCCTTAACTTTCAGACGCCTTACTCCACTCTCTAAACCTTATACCCAACCAATCGTATCCTTACATCTATTCCTTTGAAAATATTTGGATGCACAACCTTTGTCCATAATCTTGATCCCCAACGTAATAAACTTGACCTAAAATCCATTAAATGTATATTCCTCGGCTACTCTCCTCACCAAAAGGGATACAAATGTTATTCACCTCAAAACAAAAAATCCTGCCACACCATGGATGTAAATTTTTTTGAGAATCAACCATATTACCCCAAAGTTGGCATTCAGGGGGAGAACACATATCCAATTAAAGTGGTAGAATCCCAACTTTTGGAACTTGAGCTAATTGAACCCAAACTCACTGTTGAGGCATCAAAACCTACACTTGAACCAAATGAAAACGCAATAGAACTACATAACCTACACGTGGACTAGAAGAAACTACGTCAGAAAATGCAGAGGAAATTGCAGTAGAAACAACAACCCCTACAACAGAAACTGCACCAGGAAACAACATGAAAGTGTACTCCAAGAAGAGCAAGAAGGTAATAGAGTCCTGCACAACTCCAAGGCAGAACCAAGAGACCTCCAAGACTCTAGGAAATGGCGTTCCCCCAGGTAACACTGCTCATAACTCTGTGAATGTTGATGATATTGATATTCCTATTGCTTTGAGAAAAAAATGTAAGATCGTGTACTAAACATCCCATTGAAAGATTTGTATCTTA